ACAGTGGGGATCACAAAGAGGCACCAGCCGGAGGGCAGGAACAAGGGACCTGGAATGGCAGTTGCTGAAGGGAATCACTGAAAATATGACCATCAAGTAACACCTGCAGAAAAGTCAGCTTCCTTCTGCTCACCCCCACACGAGCAAGACTTCACAATCGCTCCCCAGGCCTGATGGAGCAAAATGTTTATTCCATAAATCCCAGCAGTGCCATGCCATGGTAGGGAGGGACACCCAGTCCATCAGCATTGCCGGCACCAAAGTGCAAAGCTGAACACGAAGCACCGGGGACTTCTGATACCAACGTATTTGGCACCCACAGGCTGTAGATGTCTGAAGACAGAGACAGCCGACAGGTGAACAGGCCCTTAGGGATCTACATTTTAAAGTTTGAGAGTAAAAGTGGTTCTTCTATCCTGTACAGGAGCAGCGCAGGATCTCAAAGTGACATCTTTAATTTAAGGAACTGCTTTTGTTTACCTGTCAAGTAGAAGACTACTAAACCACAGCATTTCTTAGACCATCAGTAACATCTGTTCAAATCCATTCACCCCTAGGAAACCTATGGCCAAAGTACTGAAGACTGATACTACAGGATATGGCAAATTCCTAGTGCTCACCCTACTTTAGGATCTGTCCCTTACCTTCCCTCCTTTGGTTACTTATGCATCGAAGCAAGCACTGTATTGCCAACACATTCCAGTGCAGCAACTTCATTCAATTCCACTATTTAACAAAAATCAGGAGAAAATATGACAAAAATCTCCTGTCACCCTACTTTTCATATGCAACCACATTCACTGATCAACAGTTGCATGCAACTCTAGAGCCAAGGACTGCTCAGGGGTCCACGTTTCAAGGCAAGAAAAATTTTTAGATTCACATTGGCACAATAAATAAATATTACCAGCAGGCTATTTCTGTGAAAACATTGCAAAACCTCTTTTGAGAAAACAATTGCAATCCTTTTTCATCAATGAAAAATGTTTAGATTATTCACATGCTTAGGAGCATTTTAAAGCTTGAATTGATGCCCCATATCCACTATTAGTCTAACTTTGTCTTACAGCTGTGAATTGCTTTCAGCATACTCAGCAAGTACCTCAATCTTTCTTGTTTGTCATTATACATCATCTTATTCATCTTACAATTGTTTTCCATTTTGGAACAACTCTGAAGATCAGTTTTTAACCCACTGATATAACACAATACAGTATTATCTCTACACAGAACACTGATTTTTGACAGACACTAATTCAATTTTGTTGTATACATATACAACAAAAATCTGACCCCTGACCCATTAAGTTCCCAAACGGTATAGTTTGCAGCTGTCTTTAACATCATCCAGCATTCATACTCAACTGCTTTTACTAAAAAGCAGTTAAAGAAATCTTTTATTTTCATCTCTTCCAGTAACAGTAAATTTAAAAAGAGATTTGCTTTTTTAAAAATTGTTTTATTGATTTGTTACTCTCTATTTTAAATCTACTGATCCATAGCACACATGAAATGGTGTTCAATGACTGAGGGCGATTATTATTTTACAGGCCAATGGACAACACTGATATTCCCTGGTACAAAGGACAGGTTTTATGATAGGAAACAGTCACATGAAGTGTTAAAAACAAAAACAAAACCAAAAAAACCCAAAAAACATAAGTGTGGCATAGTTAAGGTGCTAAAGTACAGGAATTTAACAGCACCTTTCCAAAAGCAAAGGCTGAACTTAAAAAATTCAAAAAATACAAAGTATATTGGAGAAGATGTAAATTTAAAATACTGAGCAGTGAGAGATAAAGAACTGCAAAGATGCACACATTTCTGTTCCACCGAGGATGTTAGATACAAGACAACATCTTTGCTAGAAGAGAATGAAATATGTAGTACAGAGAAAAAGCTAAGACAGATGGTGATATTTGTGGTAATGTTTACCATAGAAGGGTAAAAACATTTTCCAGTTAAAATAAGAGTTTGGCATTAACAGAAAATATTTGTTACACAGCAGCTTCCAAAGGTGGCTCATAGCTTGTATCCACTCATGTGACCCAGAAGAAATATGAAATAGAAAGAGGAGGCAAGATGTTTTTGAAACTGTATGAAAATGAAAAAAATGTTAAAATAGCAGGGATTGAGCAATTTTCATTTTTGTTTCAAGTCTGTGTTCTGCCAAAGTCACTTAAATATCAGGAATTGTTTGCAGAGCATAGCTGTTTATCAAGTAAAATAGGTAAAGAGGTAGCCCAAGGGTAGTGGGACTTTTAAGAGAGAGGAATGATTGGAAGAATAGTGCAATGCAAAACCTAATTTGCCAACAATTAATGTTTGAGTTTAAAAAAAACAAACCCCAAACCAAACAACAATAGGGGTTGTGGAATAGCTCCAGATAGTTTTAAACAGATTAGGGCTGGGGCTCCAGACAGAATCTGCTCAAATTGAATGTTGGGGGAAAAAAAACAAAGAAAACCCCAAAACCCACACAACAGAATCAAACAAAAACTACCAACCACCCCCCCGACCAACAACAAACACCACCATACAGCCCCTGAAGCAAGGAGGCTGTGAATATGAATAATCCTTTGGGGTACAAAGGACCTAGAAGTTAATGCAAATATCACAATTTACTTAGCAAAAGGCAGAAAAGCCTAGATATAGAAAACAATTCTCAAAATTGATTTTAAAAGAATGGTCTTAGAAAAAGATGCCTAGCTTCATTGACAATGAAGATTATTAGCTTTAAAAAAAACACCACCAAAAGAAGTTTCTGTCCTATTGATGGAAGAGCCATGCCACCCAACTTGTCTGATTTTTCTAGATATTATATAATAAATTAAGGAATTAGTCCCACAGACAGCATTGGGAGAAAGCGTTTCATATTAGACAGCCCTCACATCTTTCCTCAGAAGAGATTTTTGTAGGGAGGGAACTGCTAATAATAAAGCCATATGCCACATTACTTCTCTATCAGAAAGACATGAAAATCTGTTGTAGCTCTCAGTCTAAGTGATTCCAGTATTATTTTTAGTGTTTCTCCAGTGCCACATCTGTGTACAGCATTCTACCAACTAATAAGAAATGGCAGGTTGCTGCTCAAGGAGCTGACAACCTGAATTAAACATGATGCAGTACCATACAACAAATGAGACTGGAAAGCTTTTTTGAGAATGGGCTACCAGAACTTTAAAAAATAAGGAAGATTCTTTCACTAGCTACCTAATTAGTATTTTATATAGATACACATGTAGTCTTAAGAGTCTGCTGCTAGATTAACTTTTTTTAGTCACAGGGAATTAGCTACAGAAGTGCATTTTTGGGTTGAAGGGGAAGATGGTGTTGTAAAAAACAGACACTTAGGTGAAAAAAAACACCAAAACAGTTGTATAATGCATATATGAGCAGGGAAGATATTCCAGCCAGAGTGGAAATTAGCTTGTGAAAGATGACTAGGCAAAAGGCAATTAGTGAGGATAAAGCTGTAGAATGAAACCTCCAAGATGAACTTTGAGCCTCAGGCATGGATGGTGATCACGAAGTTACAAGACAGGGTGGGAAGCAGTGTAACTGATGAAAGCAAGAAGATAATATAGAAATCAGGAGATGGAACAAGTATTGTACCCGAGGAAAAAAACCCAAAGAATAATGTAATAGGAGAACGGTGTCCACAAGGCAGAATATAGCATCAGTGTGAGGAAAACAAGAAGTTGAGCTTATTGAAAGGGATGCTGAAGGGAGAGACAGGCAAGTTGCAAAGGAATTTCAAGTTAGCTGCATTCAGTTTAGCAGCTCAGTTGTCATAAGGGAAGTAATCATGTGTGATTTGAGGATCATTACATTGAAGGCCTTAAAACTGAAAATCCTCAGAAAAGCACTTGAGATAGGAAGCATCAAGACAGAAACCTAAAAGGTAGAGAGGAATTACTTATTCAAAATCTGATGAGTCTGTTACTATATACATGATATCATATGTAAAAAACATACTAAGGTTTTATTTTAATGACCCACTGCATGTAGTCAGTATAAAGGCAGTACTTCCCTCTTACATTTTTCCTATCAAATAGGCTGCAACAAAAATTAAAAAACCTCTGAAGTGCTATGCTTGTTTTACTTTTTATTACTTTAATACTTATGGAACTGTTGCCTCATTCTTGCAAGAGAATAAAAGCCTGCAATAGTGTACTATTTTTCCAAACTTTTTTCATACTACGATTATTTTTTTCATAGCTATTTTAGAAGACTGACTTTAAAGGTGCAGATACTTTTAGCATGAGTTAAGGGCTGCCTCTAAAGGCATTAAAGCAGAGTAACACCATGTGCTCTAAATTCATCCTATCTGTTTTGCAGGAGCTTTAGGGAAACCTCCCTTATATGCACACCCTTAGTCATACCAGTGCAGAAGTTTTATTAGAAGACCGTGAAATAGACTCAGAGCTGCAGCACACGCAACTCCCTGCCTTTCAAAGCTTCAGCCATTAAACCCAAAGAAGTTTTCAGGACTCTAGAGCTAGATGACTTTCTTCTAACACCTTCAAGAGCACAGACTCATCCCAACTGTGGCAGCAGAAAACTTCAGAGCCAAACATACAAAGGCCTTGTGCTGTAGGGTAATGGGAAAGGTAAGATGGTAAAATATACAGATGGGAGCCTGGACATCCACCTGGGCCTGGCAGAGAGCCTGTAGCTGCTGCTCAGTGCTCAGCTGTGATCAAATGACCACAGTGAAAAAATACTCTTTCAAGGACCATATTCCAAAGCTTCTCAGACTGCACAGAAACCTCCTATTTTCCAGCAGTGATTTAGACTCTTTTCCTCCTCTTCTGTTATAGTGTAGAGACAGGACCAATCTTCCCTTTCTCCTGCATGAATTCTGCTATCTCTGTGGGAAGAGGCTAAAAAAAGCTCACAAGAGCCAGTAGTGGGTGGAGTGATTCTGTTTTCACACAGTCTGTTGTGCAACAGCACCATCCAGCTGTCAAACAAAAAAACCCCACAAAAAACATTAATGCCACTATGCAGATTTGGTCCTTGTACCACAAAGAAAATGAAGAACTACACCTATTAAACAAAACCAACCCACAGGTCTTTTCCCTGCTTCTAAACTGATTATATGGATCCATTGTGTTATGTTTTCTGGGTTAGTACACAAGAATGTGCTTTAGCAAAACTAAGAATTCAGCAGTTTATTTCTGCCCAGTAAGACTGGCAGGCTAAAGCTTACCTCTGTTTCAGTGAAGCGTGGAATATAAGCTCTCAGGTATGAGGAAAAGACCATTATCTTTGGCACACAACCAAAGACAGTTAATCACACTACAAAAATTAATGGAAAAAAACCTCAACCATTTCATACACAAGAGTACATGTTTTAGCTATCATAATTTACCACTCTTGAGCTTCAGTAGTGAAAGCAAGAACAGAAACCTCCAGTGAGGGTGAAAAATGATGAAAACTCAGACTTAACTAATGGATTACTCTTGAGAGACATTATGATGTGAAGAAGAAAACTTCTTGCTTTCCAAGATTTTCCATAAAGTTGTGTTCTTTAACTATAAGGCATATGCAATGTAAGTAAATGCATTCCCTACAATGGATGACTGATTACCTGAATTAAATCCACAAGGTCACTGCTTAAATTGCCCTCAGTTCTTCACCAAACTCAATTTTGTCATAACACCAGCAGGGAGCTTATCATGTGTGTCCACTGATGATCAAGAAGTCTAATATTAGACTACTGTTCTTGCATTACATGTGCCTTAGTCTGTCCTGTGATCCCACATTCTTGTATCGTTTGATACTTGAAAGCAGGGAATGCATCTCCTTTTCTGACTTTATGCAGTCCAGTACTAGTTATCTACACTCTACAAGCAGTACAGGGTTATCTATTAAAGTCTAAAGATAAGTCAATCATCCTGTAAAGAAAACAAAAACAGTGCACACTTTCCAAGTAAATATTGGCAGGAAAAAATTGTAAATGCAACAATTAACCTAGGAGAAAGGGAATTTCTACACTCAAAGAAAACTTGAGAGGAAAACTTAGGATAAATGAGATGACTTTAAGGAACTTGAGCTTATGCAAGGAAGAATCAGCATAATCACATCAAGGAGAGATGCTGTTTTTCTTGCATAGAACTAAAACATACAATAGATTTTAATGCAAGCCCAGAACACAAGAGCACAGCAACAGGAAAACAGCAAGCACTAGAATAGTAGCTAAAGCCATCAGAGCAAAGAACATGCCGAAAGATACAGCAAAGGTGCAAATGACAAACCTGTGCCAAGTGGGAGAGAAGGTGCCCTTAGACAAGCAAGGCAGCAAAACCAGAAGAGTCCAGAGAGACACAGAACTAAGGAAAAGGGGACAATCAGCTCCCCCAAAACTGCAGATGAACAGGAAGATCAAATAGAGGCATGGCCAGTGGGGAAGTAGTATGGCTAAGTTTGATGAATGAAAACAAGTGCTCCTTTCACTAAGACTGGGAGAAGAGAATACAAGACCTTCAAGAGGAGTGCTGTTAGAAAGTCATTGCAGGACTACCTGATTAGATCAGAGACAGAACAAAGATACTAGAAAAAAAAAAAGTGTTGCAATGAGAACAGACCAAAATGCTCATATTGGTAAAAGAATTGGTGCCAAATGGGAAAAAAAAAAAAGGCAAGACTGGTATGTAGGAAGGTACTGGAAGAAGGTGGCAAGGAGATGGTAGGCAGGAAAGAGCCTTTGAATCTATAATGCAAGTTTCTTCTCTGTTCCACACACACAAAAAAGAAAAATGTCAGCAAAGTTTGAATTACAAGTGCAGAGAAAGTAACTTAAAATAAAGAATCTGATGATCTTGACCAAAGAAAGTCTATTTCCCTTGCCAGGAACTGACTAAAGAACTTGTAACATGGCCTGGAGGCTGCACAGCTATGCTCAGAGAACTGCATACTCAGAAGGCATAGTTACACACTCATTTCAACAACACAAAAGGGTATGATCAATCCATTTCACAACTCAGATGTGTAAGGAGAACAGGCAGAAAGAAGAGGAGGAGGAAAAGCAGATCTCCATTAGTTACTAGGCAGGTCAAATAACAAGGGGGAAGGTGGAAACAGCGTAAAAATCCCACTAAGCATAGAAATAGGCCTCTGGTGGAAAGAAACAAGACAAGCCAGACAGAAGGAGAAACAGGAAGCCAGAAGTCTTTCCAAAACAGTCTAAATAGAGAGACAACACTTTTACACCATCCTCCATGAGGTCAGCCAGAGTTCTGCCAACTCGATCACAGTAAGTCCTAAAGGATTTCACATGGAACTTGAGCTCATGACAGTGGTTTTTCTATTTTACCACAGGGTGCAAGCTTTTAAGCCAGGACACCAGAAGGTAGTAGAGGTAAGAAAACAGTGTTTCCACTAGACGGCAACCCATTTACACTTATTAGTTGTTCAGTTTAGTTAATGAATCAATCTTACTTAAGATTAGAGTACCTGTTCAAACTGAGCTTTGTAGTCATGTATGAGTAAGCATTTCCAAACCCAGGGCTTCAGCTGTCCAGAGAGTCTTAGATAGATGTACTATAGTTAAACCTGCCATGTCACTCAGAGTATATGTTTACATGTCTACAAGCCCCCCCTGCCAGAGAAGTATCTATTTACTATCCGCAGAGGTACTATTCAGTTCAGACCTGAGGAGTTCAGTTCTATCTTCATCAACCTCTCTAACCTTGTAACAAGCAAACCTTGCAGATCTGATTTACTGCAAGCTTCTGCTGTCACTGATAAGCGTGGTGGCAGACCTAATGACAAGCTTGTTGGATTTGGGATTTTAATTCATGAACAGTCTTATTTACACCAGGGACACAGACTACAACTCGACGTGCAAGTAGCGGTAAGATCACACATGGTAATTCCATGCTATCGGGAAGAATAGCTGGATACAAGAAACATGTTGCACGTTCCAGTCTCTCAACCTGCTCCATCCCTAGAACTACACTGCAACACTCACCAGCCCCCTCTTTTCAAACAGATTTTCTGCAAGTCCCATTAATTTTATATTTAGCATTTCACAGCAAGTTAGTTTCTACTTCCAAAGTGTCTAGACATAAGTTGTGTTGATACCCATGTCTTCCAGTGAGAGGCCAAGTTCCCATGACAGGGAGTATGAATAAAACCAGTAAGTCCTATCCGAGAAAGCTCACACATTTCAGAATTTAAGAGCTTATTTTAATCCAAGATATGGCAACTGTAAAGTCCAGTTCATAAAAGGGCAACTTGCTGACAATAAGTCTTCATATGTACAGTGAACACAGTCAAGCAATGCAAGTTTCTAGTCAGTAGGGCTTCCCCATTGATTCCAACATTTTCTTTCTCTCTTCTGCTGAGGGCATCTCTGGTTTCACACCATTTCTTCTCCTTTGCATCATAATGTCATGCTGAAAATAGAAGACAGTGACCATGAGAACACAGATCTCTCAGAAGTCTCTGCCTCTGAGCTCCAAATGAATGATTCTTTAACAGAAGTACTTTTCATATATCAAGAGCCAGATGCTGATAACTAAACGTACTAATATTTAACTGAAGATATCAGATAGTTTACCTTGCTGCTTCAGAAGACAGTGAAATTACAGTATTCCCATTACACTATGTAAGACTAATGCACAATTGTCTTTAAATAGTTTTTTGGTAGTTTGTGCAAGTATTTAAAGGCTAAGCTAAAAGACTCTTTACTACTGTGGCATAAGGAAAGAAAACAGCAGAGAACAGTTTAACTGCACATAGCTGCTCATGATACTTCTCTACCACAAGAGAGAAGGAAATAAGGACACCACCAAATACAAATGAACTCTTCCTAAGCTCTATCTTAGGTTAAAGTAAACGTGACCCAAACCAATGGAAAAACAGATGAACTTATCTTACCTTACCTCAGGATTTTTTTCATTATATCCATTTAAAACAGAACTCATTACTAGAAATATCTGACTCAAATTCAGAGGTAATCATATCAGGTACTGCAAGAACACTGACTCACAGTTTAAGAGGGTAAACTTAGGAGAGCCAATTACTTTGATGTGCATCTGCTTAAGTCTTCCAGCAACACATACCAAGACTACCCAGGCCTGTAAGTCACTGTAAAAACAGCAGCAGTCAGCACCAGCTAAGTCAGAAGAGTTCAGAAAGTAGTGTGTCAGATGTACTTAAAGCAAAGCATGGAGTAAAATTTAGAGAATCTACTGTGCTTACCCAGAATTTTCTGCAGCTTTTGTACTGCAAAAAATAAGCAGTACACATATCCTTGTTATAGTTGTTGTCATCCATACATTTTGTAGAGGCATCTGTTTCCTTTAACAGGGAGAACATACTTCAGAGCTGAGGGAAGTTACTGTACTCGGTGTCTAAAAATTCTAACAAGTCCCACAATATCTGTGAAGATATGAGGCAGCTTCTCAGATTAAAGAATACTATCAAAGAGAGCAGGGGAACATCTATCACAAAGGATAATCAGTAATTCCAAGCAATGACTTCATTTAGAGATAACAGACATTAGTACTCTTTAAATATTAAGGATAGAGTCCACAGAACAGTTGTTTACAAAGATGCTTGGTATAACCCACAAAAGTCTCTTAAAAATCAACCAAGCTTGTCTAACCAGGATTTCAGGCTCTGGTTTTAAAAACAGAAAATTAAAGAGATTGCTCTCCCGTTTATGAGGAATTGCTCATTATTTCACACTTACTATAATGGATAATATTCAGCTTTTCCCATCTTCAGACTCTTTAAGAAACTTTTTATGCAAAATGTCAATGCAAGAGTGCTATCCATTAAAAAAATCCTCGAGAAATTGCATTATTTAACACTAAAACATACAAACAAAAATTCCAGTTTGATCATCTTACCGCTACGCATGGATTTATATCATGGTCTCTAAGCTGTTGTGCATGCCTGGACATTCTAGACAGATACTCGTACCTTGGCGAGAAACAGAAAAGAAACAGGTTAAGTGTCTACTTCTGGTAGTAACTCAGGATTAAGTCTGAGCTTCAGCATGTAATAAAGGCCTTCCAATAACATATGCAATTTGGTTGTCTTAAAAAAAAACCCAAACAACCCACCACCACCAAACAACTTTTGCAAAATGTTACTTCAAAAGCACTAAAAGCAAGACAACTCAGGCAAGTTTAGCCTGTCACTGAGACTGCTTACTCCCTGATACATTCCTGCAGAATAGAGCCACTGCAGTGACTCTTATACCAGCCTGTCATATTGTTGACAAAGTGACCATGTCTAGGAGAAACAGCTCCATAGAAGCTGTTCACAGCCAACACACCATAGACACTTCAATTAATAGTGTGGGGGAGCAACGTACAAGTAAACTTCTCCAGATTTGTGCCTACAGATCACATCTGTACCTTCACTGAGCTTTCCCAGGTGTAACAAGTGCCCAGCCATCTCCCATGTCACTATGAGATATTTAACAGAAAAAGAAATGGTTTCACTGCAAAGAGGCACCAGACCCACTGCTTATGACAGCTTGAATCGCATTTTTCACCAGTTTAGTTTGACACTGACTCTAGGAACTGTAAGCTTGAGAGACACAGAGTTCAGTGCCAAGAACCTACACTGATCCAAGATGATGACATGAAGATGAACAGCAGACCCTCATTCCCGTTACAACTTCCCATACATTGCCTCTGGCAAACATATGGCCATGCAGGTATTTGTTCCAAACAAATACTAAATCTAACCAAAAATAAATTAATGTTGACCAGATGACTGTTTGAGCCAATGCAAGCAGAAATACAGGACTGCGGAATAGAGCGCTCTTTTGCAGCAAATTAAAGTACAGCTGAAGAAGGAAACTGTGAAAGAACATCCGTGCTCAATCTTGTTGGGTTTTTTTCCCCCCTAAAAACATTGCTGCTAATTCTAAACTTAAACCTGTTTCTGTTCACATTAGAGATTGGTAACTGCAAGCCTACAGTAAAAATCTAGTTTTGCTTGATATCAGCAAACAAAAACCAAATATTGCTCTTAGTAGCTCATAGACAGAAAACAATGTTTTAGATGAAGTTTCTTCTTTGGGAGAGAGTAAGCTATTCAAGGTGAATAAGCCTTAGATTTTACATCCTGTGCAAGTATATGCTCCTGATGCTTGGAGTATTTTTTGCATTCCACATGATCCTTTTCTGCAAATGGGCCTTTTAAAGAACAGCACCAGGAAACCCTTCCACTTTCTTCTGAGAACTATCCAGTGTTCAAGTTAACTTTACAAGCTAGGCAAATGGTTGCTTTTTTTGTGGTTGCAAGAGGATTTTTGATCAGGTACTTCCAATTAAAATGGAAACACAAGCATGCAGAACAGCAGCATCATCCCAGACTTCAAGGGGGGGGGGAGGAAGTAAAAGAAAACAAAAGCAGCATATCACAATGCCTCCACCGACACAATGTTTTTAGAGGTTGGTTTGTGTCTGTGTTCTAAATCTGCATTTCATTGATATTAGAGGTGTTAAGGACCACTTAAGCAGATATGCCTCAAGGTGTACGGTATGAGATCGACTTCAGCCTTACTCTTTCTCTGAAAAAGTATTCGGGAGTCATAGGATGTGTCATCATCAGTGTTCCTTATACAAACTGCAATTAACATTTTCAGTTTGATTACACTACCAAAGGCTGCAACCGTGCCCAGTTTAAGGAACAAGGCACACAATACATCAAATACCCACTTAATGAACCGGCAGTTCAGGTTCTCATGAAGCTGCTAAGTTCAGAGTAGACAAGTGCTTAAACGTACTTAGTACTACCAAAAAGTTCTGATAGCTCCTGCACGTGTTCCTCTCTCCCCCTCCCCGAAGCACTTCAGGATTGGAAACATTATCAGCTAAAAGGGCAGGCAGGTCACACCGAAATGCTGCTGTGTGATTGAACCAGCAGTCGGGCAGGAAGCGAGCTTCCCCCCCCAGTTTCTGCACATGCAGAGGCTTCCCTTCCTGCTTTCAGATTACAGGTCAGAGCCCAACCACAACCAAAGGCTTGTCTATTCCACAGTTCTTAATTATGCTTTAACACATTAACAGTTGTAAACTGTACCACAGAGAGATACATTTGCTGCTAGCACTCTTTAACCCTAGGGCTTTTTCAGTTCATAAAACCATCAGGATATTTTTCTATAGGCTCCCTCCCGTTGAAAAGTGGTTTTGGCTTTTTTTTAAACGCCTGTATCTATACAAAATTGCCAATTACGCTGCAATACAGACCAGCTTATTAAACCTGAAACCCTGGAGTGAAGGCCGTACACAAATCCTACGACTTCTGCCGCTCTTACAGCGGGACAAGCGGGGGGCGGGAGGAGGCAGCCGGCGGGTCCGGACGCCCGGCACCGCCGAGATGCCTTGCCCGCCTCAGCCTCCACGAAGAGGGCCGGGGGGCAAGTCAGGTGCAGAGGGGGGC